TTTTAAAAAAATAAAAATAAATAAAGTGGACTTTCAAAAAAAAAAAAAACAAAAACCCGATGAGAAGAATGAATGAATTGGGTGACTTGATTAACATGAGTAGACACTACATCTGCCACATCCTTTACATACTTTCACTCGTTTGTGCCATGGGGACCTTGGCTAAGGGGCTTATTTTGAATTCTTGGTACTGTCCTGTCCTCCTGATATCACTGAAGTCTCTCTAGTACTCCAAAAGAATTACATATGCAAGGACTGACCAGATAGCTGAGTGGACTAAAGTGCCTGCTTAGGTAGAGCACAGTGGCCAGGGCTCAATTCCCAGCCTGCCATGCTGGCTCCACCCCCGGAGCACACTGAGCCAGCGACTGAGACTGGGGTCGTAGCGTACACCTGTAATCCCAGCACTTGGGAGGCTGAAAACAGAAGAATCCCTACATGTCCGAACTCTATAGTGAGACCCTGTAGATCCTGTACTAAATACATTTTAAAAAGAAGGGAAAAAAAAGGAATTACACACAGCCATTGGTACACGTTAAATTATTTCTCTGTAGCTGCAATGATAGAAACTCCAAAAAATCTACAACCCTAAGGAAGCTATAACCTGTGAAAGGCTTACTGAGACTAGAAATCCAGAATAACTGGGATTTCCTGAGAGGGATGAGAATGTTCTATATATTGAGCATTAAAAAGTAGTGGTGGGGGACTAGTCCATAAAATTTATAGGATGCCACACTATGGACCTAACCAACTCATTGGCACTGGCCCCAACAAATCAATATGGAGTCGCTCATGCTAAAGTTGTGTATTTTAAGCCCAAATTAAATGGTATGTCTGAGAGGAAGGAAGAGAGGGATAAAGAGGAATGGACTTCTAGTCTCAAGAGACCCCCCCCCCCACTCCCCTCATAGTGCTGGGAATTGAACCTAGGCCCTTGTACATGCTAGGCAAGTTCTCTATCACTAAGATATACTCTCAGCTTCTCAAGTGACTTTTCAAAATAAAGTCCAAGTCTATAAAACTTTGACCGACAGGTGTGAGCAGGGTACACCTATGACTTACAGCACACACACACACACCCCAAAAGGAGGGAAGGTTTATGGAGCTCTATTGTATGTTACACTATTTATTAGACTCTTTGCTGAGATCACCTACATTTTCCCCCAAGGTCACACTAAAAACTGTGTGTTCATAAAACAAATCTCCCCTGGAAAGGCACTCCCAGAAGTATGTCAAGGTGCCTGTGGGCAATTAAGATTTTCCACTTCTTTTATCTGAGTAGTTTAATCAAGTTGTATCTGAGTAGCTGTGATTTTTTGGCTTGAGATTCAGAGAGAATTGCCTTTATCATCCTGTGTCAGGCGTTTTCCTTTGGAGTTGACCCAACTTCCTGGGTTTTTTGCCCTCTCAGCTGTACTCTATTAAGTCATAGGTGAGGTGCTGTGTGTTCTTATGCCCTAACCAATGTTTTTTTCTTCCTAAAGATTATTTAAAACTTCTTGTTAAGAATATATAGCTATTGAAATTTCCTAATTCTTCTTGGGAAAGTTCAGCTATCTTTCAACAATTTTTGTTATGTAGCACCAAAACTGTTCAAACCATTGTCATGTCATTCATAATGTCATAAAATTTTAACATTTACAATAATGTCATCTTTCTCATTCCTGATATTGGAAATTAATGTATTTTATGTTTTGTTCCTTGACATCAAGGTACTGGAACGCTAGGGCTGTGTCCTGAGTGATCAAGAATGAAACTAGACAGAGGTAGTGTCGAATTATTTACAAGATATAGGGCCAGGGATATAGCTCAGTAGAATAAGTCCTTGCCTGGCAAGTGCAGGGTCCTAAGTTCAATCCCCGGTACAGAAAAGAAAAAAAAAAAAAAAAAAAAAGAAAAGATATAGCCAGGCATGGTGACACACTGTAATCTTAACACCCAGGAGGCTGAGGCAGGAGGACTGCTGCAAGTACAAGGCCAACCTGGGCTACACAGTGAGTTTCAAGACCATCCTGAACTCAAAACAAACAAGCAAACAAAAAGATTAAAAGATATAAAGGCAAGGGAGTAGAACTCCCACTAGCCAGGAGATCCTCAGCAGGATACTTATGGGAGGGGTCATTGCCTAGGGGATTCTAAGGGGTTTAGAAGGGAGCTGGGGCTATTATGCAAGCCATATGATCTCTTTTCCACAGGAAACTGAACTTCTTAGGGTCTGACCCAAGTAGTGCTCACGCAGTCCCCATGTAGGGCCCATACACCCAAGAGCCAGTGGCCTGCCTGATTATGCTCTGGGAAGGTCTGAGTCACAGGACAGCAGGCAGATGTTTCTCTAACATCCTTGGGGGGTGGCAACTTACAGATTTGAGTTTGGGCTTCCAACTCCATTTTAGGCCTCTGTCCTTACTGCCTAATAGAACTTTAACTCTTGTCTCATTAAGTCCTGTCTCATCTGGGTATATTTTATTGAGTTCCTCGTAGAACACATACTACTACAGTGTTTGTGAAGCATAATGAACAATCAATCACGTCCCCTCTCTGCCTCCCCATCTTTCTCCATTCTCAGATACCCTTCCTTTCTCTGAAGTCTGTTTTACTCTTTTCTTGTAATTGTATTTTCTGTTCTGACCTTTATTTCCTTTCTTCAGCATATTTGGAGCCTCATTTGCTGCTATTGTGGAATCTAGATCAGATATTTGAGATAGTTTGTCTTTCCCATTACGGACATGAGGCAGCATAATGCTCCTCTAACTGCCATCCTTCTCAGGGACCTCCTCTACTATTGACATGTTAAAATTTTCACTGTTCAAAATTAGCCTTTGAAATCTTCTTTGATCAAGAATATGGAGAAGTAGGTTATTTATTTGACTTGGGGACTATCCAGCCTGCTGCTTTCTACTTAGGGTTTCTAATTTAATTTCTCTGCGATAGAACTTAGTATGCACACATGACAAACCCTTTTGGAAAGCTTTTCAAAGCCAAGAGACACCGAAGTTTGCTTTGATGCAAAATAATGCAAGAGAGAAAGGAAACATGTGACTGTCAGAACAAAATGTGTGGACAGATCCAAGACTGAGGCACAGCATGGCTTAGGAAGCAAGAAACTCCACCTGCCTCTTATTTTGTTGTTCTTTGTGGTCAGGTCTTAGATCAAAACCCAAGTTCAGCAAGTATTCTCACTGCTGAACTGTAGCCCCAGTGCCTTCCCAGATCTTGAAAACCTTCAAGATGGACTCAATGCTACATCTCTGTAGACCCAGATCTTTGAGGCTGAGGCAGAAAGATAGCAAGTTCAAGACCAGCCTGGACAACTTAGTGAGACCCTGTCTAAAAATTTTTAAAAAGGGCTGGGGATATAGCTCAGTGCAAAAGCCCTGGGCTGAATCCCTAGCACTGCCAAAAACAAAATTAACTTTCAACAAACAAAACAGCTTAAAAAAAAATTAAGACACTCACACATTCACCAATGCATTGCAATTCTGAACACTGTGACGGTGCTCAGCGCCTGCACTTGGCTGAATTATGTAATACTGCTGACCTTGTGACACTCCACTAACATTGAAGGGGCTTAACAATCATCCTTTCATCTCAAAGCCACAAACAGCCAAGTGTTTTGCCCAAGTGCCACTCGCATGTCACATGCTACCTTTGTTTCCCATAATGACAGAGGTTTGCAAAGAAGCCGGGTAGCTGCCTTTGCCTTCATGGTGTTGTTTTCTGAGGGGCTGATGAGCTGAAGCTCCTGGCCTGTATCCAGCTCTGCTCCTGGGTTGTCACGCGAGTCTGCCTTCCCATCACACCTCAGCAACACCGAGTCACAGACCACAGAGCGGAAGACACGCTACCTGGATCCTTCCGAGTAGTGTGCCGAACCCTGACCTAGTCCATTCTCTTGACCTCACTTTAATGCTGATTATACCTCTGAGATGTTGCAGGCTCAGCATAATAACAACCTGTAGACACGAGCATTCATAAAGAGCCATTTATGCAGCATTATTTTATTTATTATTTCTGGCCATTTCCCCTTTTCTTCTTGGTAAGTCAAAATGTCACAAAAGCTATTAAAGAATTAGTATCTGCTTAGTGAGAAGCCTATTCCACTAGGTTTACACTGAATACCTGACTGGGATGGTTTGATATTCTCCACAGTGTCCATATCCTTTGTGTCACATCAGCCTACGGCACAAAGATGGCAACTGTGGGTGGAGGTGTAAGGTTCACCATTGTTCAACTCTTTTTTCCTGAACAAACTGTCCATGTGGCCCCTCAGCATCAGGGGGCAGAAGAGCCAAGTACACGGGGGTCTCAGCTCCTTCTTCTGGGCTTTTGGTGGCCAAGGGCCCCGCCATATCAGTTCTCACCCAACCCGGACAGCAGGCATTCAGTAGGATCCTGTCCCCTTTCCTCTCTTCACTTAGTTTCCTGGCATGGATTCGGGACAGGACCGTGACCCCAATCTTGGACACCCCATATGCAGTGTTGGGCCAGCCCTCCTTCTCATGCACTTTATTCTTTGTGTCTTCCACGAACTTGTTCATCAGCCCCACCAGCTCCTCCTCAGTGATGGTCTCACTTCGAAACTTCTGCTGCAGCTCTGGGCTGCACTTCTTAAGGGCTGAGAGACTCACGGAACTTGACACATTCACCACTCTGCCTATAATACATCACAAGATCTTATGTAGAGACATGTACACAAGAATGGTGAAAATAAAATACAAAAAAAAAAAAAAAAAAGAATGGTGAAAATTCTGCTGTGATTGTAAAGCACAAAGTTTCCATTTGAGAATCATTACCAGTGTCAGTTGTAAGAATACACAGAATAGGGTATGTGAGGAACTCCATTCCTGCTTGCAGGTTTGGGACAGGTAATGGCATCAGCTGACACTGGAAAGAGCTGCTATCGGATATCCTAATGAACAGAGGCTTAGAAGCAGCAAAACCTTCTGGGAGGACAGGATAGGAAGCAAGAGACAGGTTGAGAGTAAGCTGCACATCTAATTGCTGAACTTTAAGCCACACATTTAATTTTCCTAAAAAGGATTGTTTCTATTGGCATGTTTCTAATGAGTGGCAGTTCACTGCTTGCAAAACATGTAGGGTGTTAGACCAATTCACAAGATAAGAAACATGACAATCTTATATGCAATAAATGGAGAATATTCATGGGAACTTCAAGTGGGCCTGGAGGGAGGCAGGGTCCAATTGTGGAGATCACTATACACCAGGATGAGAGCTTGATTTTTGGCGGGGAGCAGTCAAATAGTGTTCAGAATCCTGGGGAAGGAAGTGACTCAAGAGGCCTCTTAGGAGGTTTGCAGTAGTGCAGTTTGACAGCTGAGGGTCTGGCCTGTGCTGGAACTGGGGGACACTTAGTAGGGACAACCTTAGCTCCTGGTTAGCTGTTATGAGGAAGCAGGGCATGGCAATAGGCAGATGACTGAGGGAAGAAAACTAGCGTTTTTGGGGAAATGTCTGTTTTAGATTGAGGGCCATCAGGGAGAGATGCACAGGTAGAAAGACAAACACGTGTGGGAGCTCTGGGAGTATTCTAGGCCGAAGGCATATTCACACAGAGACATCCAGAAACTGGCCATGGAGGAGGTTCCACCGCCTGAATATGATCATGCAGTAGAGAGGAGGGTAGGAACCTCATGGGCCTCTAAAGTATGAGCAGCACAGAAAACACAGATGCCCAGTGTGGAGACCTTTGAAGCAAGACCTGAAGGACTAGAAAGAGGCAGATGTGCAAAGAACATGGGTCAGGCTGCACCAGGACCATGGAGGAAATGGGGACAAAGGAGCAGCAGGTACCTCCTGGTGGAGACCCAGCAGCCAGCTCACCACCAGACTCACCTTGTGGTTTTATTAAGGGGAGCAGCTCTGTGCAGACATCTCTGGTACCAAAAAAATTTGTCTTCATTGTTACTTCTGCTTGAATAGGAAAGGGTGTGGGATCTGCCACTTGTACCATTTGGAGAAAGAGAACAAGAATCAGCAACAGTGGCCACGAGGTGGAAAGTTACAGAAATAAGAGAAACTTGGTCGCTTCCAAGGAAAGTCTGTACCTAGTTCCAGTCTTGCTCCAAAGTCAATTTTGTAGTTTGATAATGTCCCATTATTCTTTATGAGCACGACTGGGGGAGGCTGTGTCAAGACACCTGATCCACAACAGAATCTTGGTGTCTCTTTCTTTTTCTTTTTCTTTTCTTTTTTTCTTCTTTTTAGGTTATGAGCAGAATATATTTATTGAGGAAAAGAAAGCTCCTGTTTGAGAGATGTACAGGAGGTGGGGCCGAGCCGGTTGTTCCCCGGAAGCTGTCTCTTCCAGGGACTTTTATAGTGTAAAACCATGCAGGGCTAAGGTGGAGAAAGGGGGAACTCGCTTAGGTGGATATGGGGTGGGACAAAACTACGGTCAACCAATGGGATTACAAGCACCATCGTTTCTCTTTATTTCAAATGGAGTTAAACATCCACCCAACTGCCCCAACTCCTAGTAACAGATAAGGTGTAAGAAGAAAACTTCGAAAAGACCCTTAACGGTCTGGGCCACGTAAGCAAAAGGTCCGTTGCCTAGCAATCCCTCTGCCCCACGCTCAGCCTCCCAGGCCCTGTGGGTTCCACTCCTGCCGCAGCCCCTGCCTCTCCTGCTCCGGTTCTGCACCCCACAAAGCCAGAGGGGCCCCACCCCAGGGCCGCCTCCACAGGCACAGAGCCAACTCCTTACTCTTGAAGGCAATGCCCGCGTTGTTGACCAGCACGTCGAGGCCCCCATACTCCTTGCGCAAGAAGTCGCGCAAGGCACGGATGCTCTGCAGGTCGTCGATGTCTAGTTGGTGGAAGCGCGGGCTCAGCCCCTCAGCCTGCAACTGCTGCACCGCCGCAAGGCCCCGCGCCTCGTCCCGCGCCGTGAGCATCACGTCCCCCGGGAACCGCCGGCAGAGATCGCGGGTGATGGCAAAGCCGATGCCCTTGTTGCCTCCGGTCACCAGCGCCACGCGGGTGCAGGACGACATGGCTGGGTAGTAGCTAAAGAAACTCGCAGACCCGGGACAGAGCAGCGGCCAGAAACTGTGCGCCGCCACCGACTTTACTATGGAGTCGCGCTGTCCCCGCCCCGCGCAGCGCGTAACGCACAAGCGCAGACGCACTCTCCACCCTTGGCAGGGCGTGGCTTCGTGGCCTTCCAAGGAACTGCGAACGAAGATTTGAGATGGAGGAGTGAGCTCTCACCTACAGGCTTTAGTATTTCTAGATTGTCGTTTGTCCTGATTGGTAAGTGTTTAGTGCGGGTGGTGTACTTACTGTCGCGTTAGTTTTCTTTCTTTTTTTGCTTATAGTATACTTTAATTCCCAATGCGCATTCATTCACTCAGTGACAGACTAAAATGTAC